GATAAGGTGACCCTTTCCGAGTTCCTTTCTCCTTACAAGGCTATAGCAATGGGAGGGAGGGAGAAGCGGGGCAGAGAGAGAGAATATTACCTTCCAACACACAGCCATTTCCTCTGCTCCATTTAGATGCTCAAAAATTGCTGGTGAGGCTGAGGCTGGACATGGTGGGGTGGGGTTAACAGCTATTTTCTTCCAGGCTGTCAAGTTCAGCCCTCCCTCTGTTAACCACCAGTCTAGAGATTCACTTCGAGAGCAGAGATGGTCTACACACTCACAGCGGTCTACACTACTCACATTCACAGCGTGTAGGGCATGCTAAGCATGCTGGTTTCCAAAGCACCCCTTGCATGCATGCGTGCGCACACACACACCGCTGCCGCAGCTGTGAATGACATGATGGCCCCTCTGCAGGTGGCTTCTGGCGCTTGGAGAAAGTCTAAGGGTCACAGAAGATGGAGTCCTCCCGGGGGTAAAAGCTGGCAAGTGGACCTGACCATGAACTAGGGGAAGCTGACTTATCGATAGGGCTCTGCACCTGGCAGAAACCTTAGTCTAATTCCTTCTTTCTACACAAATGGAAACAGAGTCCCAGAGCAGAGAAGCAACTCGCCCACGGCCACACAGTGAGTCAGCAGTGGGCAGAGGCTTGATCACCTCCTGTCTCCTCGGTCAGTGTCCCTCTGCTTCCTCCTTCTCCTGTCCCCGGGTGCCTAGTGCTCTCACGCCACCCTCTATGGCTGCCAAAGACTGGACTGGGAGGAAGCCGCTAACAGCTTTGCAGCCGGAGCCATGTTCCCTGACCAGTCAAACCTTTCCTTTCCGGGGCTTCTTCCCTGCAGAGAGGCTGGGGGTGGTAGTTGATCAGTTAACCAGGGCTGCCCCCTCCAGCCTTTTCTCATGCAGATGCTCTGCCCAGAGCGCCCTCCCACCTTCCTTCTCTGGCTAACTCATTCCTACCCCACAAAGCCTTCGCCCAGCACCACCGTCTCCAGCAAGCTCCCTCCTTGCCCAGGTGCTCCTGCCGCGTCCACAGCACCCAGGACTCACCGCTGTACCAGTCACTCGCCGCCGTGTCGGCCTGGGCCTGGGACTGTGTCTGCCTTTTCCCCCCGCACTGTCAGTGCCCCGGTGGCAAGGGCTGTGCCGTCCATTTTGCACCCCCAGCTCCCACAGAAATACTAGATTTTAACCTGCACAGTTTCATTTCATCCTCGCAACAACCCTGAGAGGCAGGCCTGAGAAAACCAAGGGAGAGAGGGAGGAACTTGCCCAAGGTCAGCAAGAAGAGGAGGTGAGATTGAGTCCAGGCAGTACAACTTCAGTCTGGGCTCTGGACCTCTTTGACCCCAGGCCTTCAGTGAAGGTTTGTTGAATGAATTAAAGATCTTATTTCTTTGTGGCCAGCACCTAACACCCAGGGCGTGACGCTGGTGAGAACCAACACTGCCCTCATGACAACCTGTCTGAGCGCTCACTACGTGCCAGGTGCTGTGCTCGGCATTTTACACATACGCACAGTTAGGGCTTTGTGTTATTAAATAGTTTCCTACTGCTGCTGAAACAGAGTCTCGCAAGCTTATTGGTTTAAAATAACATGAATTCATTTTCTTTTAGTTCTGGAGATCCAGATTCTGCCATCTGGTTCACTGTGCTAAAATGAGGGCGTGGGCAGGCCTGGGTTCCTCTGGAAGCTCGAGGGAGGAACGCATTTCTTTGTCTGTTCCAGCTTCTACAGGTCAACTACACCTCTGGGCTTGTGGCCTCTCCCTCCGTCTTCAAAGCCGGCAGCGTAGCATCTTCTCTCCTTTCTAACCTGTTTCCCTCCTTCCATTTTTCTCTCTCTGACCCTGGCCCTCCTGCCTTTCTCCCACAAGGATCCTGTGATCACATCAGGGCCTCCTGGGGAATCCAGGGGACTCCCCCCACCGCCAGGTCCTTATCTTAACCGTGTCTGCGACATCCTTTCTACCAGGCAAAGTAACGTATTTGCAGGTTCTGGGTATCAGGATGTGCATATCCTTGAGGGGGGTGTTATTCGGCCTACCACAAACATCGTCTAATTTGATCCTCGTACAGTACTGCCATGACAGAGATGGGGTGACTGTCTCCACCAACTAGATGTGGAAAGCACGTGGCACATGGTAGGCACTTGACACGTGTTTGTGGGGCTGATCTAGTGAGAGCTGGCAGATGATATGACATCCTTCCCTGGACAGAGGCCTCGAGGGATGTATCTCGTCCTCTGTCTTCCCTAAATTCTTCTCCCACAGTCCCCTCCACTGGGGGCAGATAGAGGCTCTGTTCGAGCGTTCGGCACTTTCTGTTCCCTCTGGGGTCGCTGTCTCCCCAGTGAGATCACGATCTCCTTCAGCGTAAGGACCGGCTCTGTCACGTATTTCTAATTCTTTGGGTCTTCCCACAGTGCCAAAGACGCCGTTGTCTTCCTTTTAGTCCTTGCAAGGAGGGAGTATATGTCCATTTTGCTGATGAGCAAAGTGAGGTGCAGCCTAAATGCAGAGTCAGTTCCTGATAGGTGCTTGTTGACGGCCTCTGTTTTGCTCCCAACGCTTTATCTCGTGACACCCAGCACAAGAGACTCTGCGCCCTCAGCAGCCTCCAGCCCTCCGGCTCGGCTCTGCACGAGGCTGCATTGTGTTGCCTCCCTCACGGCACATAGCCTTTGGATGCTCTTCCTGTGGTGTGCTTTTGCGCACACGCACGCGCACACACACACTGCCCCAGCCCCCAGAACTTCTCCAAGGCTGGCATCTTTACACGGTCCTTACCCATCCCCCATCCTCATCTGCAAAATGCTCATCTGAGCCACTTGCCATCCTCCCCCTGCACACACAGCCACCAGACTTACACATCCCCATAGCATAGTTCCCCGAGCCTTCATCGATGACAAGGCGTTCCTCTGTGTTTTCTTCCTGTAGAACGACCTTGTGATCACCCTGGCAATGATTCAGGGCTGCAAGTCTGGAATCAGAATGCCTGACTTGGAATCCAGGCTTTACCACTTGTCAGTTGTGAGACCTTTGCAAGGTAGATGAATTTGCCTTAGCTCGGTTTCCTTGTCTGGAAAATGAAGAAGAGTAATGGTACCTTTCTCAATGCCTAGCAGATGCTATTTTGTAGGTACGATTTGCTCACAGGTCCCAGTTTCTTCTTGCTGCCCTTTCCCGCATCTCTGCCATAACCCGTCTCCCTTCCCAGACAGCCCCCACCCGCCCTGCTCCTTGTTGACACAAGTTCTCTGGAAGGGGTAGCGACGTTGGTCACATACACTTAAGAGGGTTATTTAAGCTGCCATATCTCTTCCCAGGGCATTTCTCTTCAATGCCTCATTTCTTTTTTCTTTAAAAAAATTATTTATTTATTTCTCTTTTTCTTTTTTCTTTTTCATTCAGTCTCCATAGAGACTGTCAAAAATTACCAGTGCCGACTATATTTCAAGTCGTCATGGTGGGGTATTGGGAAAAGTTTTCAATTAGCAATAATCGTGCCTCAGATAAACCTCATTGGCTATGATACTGTCACTGCTAAAAGCTAAATTTTTTTTTTTTTTTAGAGGCAAGGTCTCACTCTGCTGCCCAGGCTGGGGTACAGTGGCATGATCATAGTTCATTGCAGCCTCAAACTCCTGGGCTCAGGTGATCCTCCTCCTTCAGCCTCCTGAGTAGCTGGGATTTCAGGCACGTGCCACCATGTCTGGGTAATTGTTTAATTTTTTTGCAGAGGTAGGGTCTCACTATGTTGCCCAGGCTGGTTTTGAACTCCTTGACCTCAAACAATCCACTTGCCTCAGCCTCCCAAAGTGCTGGGCTTATAGGCATGAGCCACCACACTGGGCCCAGACCCTCATTTCTGAAGACATTCAGGAGTCCAGACCACCTGCTCATGGCAATCAGTCCATGGGTGACCAGATGAAGATGGCGCTAGGGGAGGGGCACTCCCCGTACCTCTGTTGTCTCCCCAAGTAGATAACCACCTTTCCAGTTATCTTTGCTTTTGCCATCATATGTTGCCTTGGTGTGGGAGAGGAGGTGTTGGCACCTGGAGGAGATGCCATAGAAAGCATTCCCGGATTACTTCATCTCTGGGCCTTGCCTCTCAAAATTCCAGCCAAATCTGCCCTTCCCTTTAAGGCATGGAAGAAGGCTCAGCATTCCAGAGGTTCTTTGTCACGCCCAGGCTTTTAATGAGTTAATATTGGAGACTCGGCCTTGCACCGCTGTCCCGCTTGTGGCTTTGGGGAGCTGTGAGAAAGTAGGGAGGGGTCCCAGAGGTCTCTTGCCCTGTCCCACGCAGGTCTTTCTGGCCCAGAAATTGCCTTGAAGGGAGCAGATCTTGAGAGCTCGGGCCAGGCTCACTCGGGACGATCAGCACCACGGACAGCGGCCAGAGGGGCCCGGAGACCCGCGGCCGGGTGCGAGGAGTCGCTGGTGCTGAGCCACAGGCGGGCGAGGTACCCGCGCCGGGAGGGCGGGCGCGCTGGTGGTGGGTGTTGGCTGGGGCTGTTCTCGCTCTGAGTCACCCCATGCGCCCCGCACTTGCGTCGGGCCTCGGAACGCTGTGGTTCTCCCTGCCCTTGCCAGCAACGACTGGGGCGGGGAGGGAAGGGGAAAGCACCACGCCAAGGGCCGCCCCCCGCCCCGATTTTTGCAGGAAGGGAGGAAGCGGCAGACAGGGACGTGTTGGTGTCCCCCTCGGGCTCCCGCTCCCAGCCCGTCCCATTTCTATACAAGGTCTGCTCTCCCGGGTCTCCACCTCCAGGGAGGCGCGGAGGGCCGCATTCGTCGGTCCTGAGCTCAGCCAGCCGGAATGTGGCTGATAAATCAGAGATAACCCCGCGGGGCAGGGCCGGCCGGACCTCCAGCTCCGGGATAAAAGGCGGCGGTTGCCCCGGGAGCCAGGAGAGCACCCGCGGCTAGGAGGTGGGGCAGAAACCCAGAGGCAGCTCTGCGGCCGCAGCAGCCTCCTCCCACCCCTCCAGCGACATGAATCCCCCCGCGGCACTGCCCCGGGCGCTCCTACTCCTCCTTTTCTTGCAACTGTCGCCGCTGGGAGGCCGTTCTCACCCGCTGGGCTATCCCAGTCCAGCCTCGGAACTGTCTGGGATGCAGGTGAGAGCAGAGGGTCTGCGTAGATGCGGCTGCCCCGAGGGCTTGGGTAGCAGCGATTAAGGGGTCTCCGCCCACTGTCCTAAGGGGTCCCCACCTTCCCTTGGGAATCAGTGATAAGGGAACCAGAAAGTGGCAAGGTTGGGTGCCGGGACCCCACACCCAAGGCAGTTGGTTCACGTGGGCGCCGTCGAGGGCTGGCCAGCCGCGGCGCGCGTTCCTGAGGCCCCGGGCTCCCCTACTTGTCACAGGAGCTGCTGGATGGTCTGCGCGACAAAGTCTCTGAGCTGCAGGCACAGCAAATGGCCCTGGAGCCCCTCCAGCAGATCCAGGGCCCCGCAGAAGCCTGGGGGGCCCGGGAGGCAGCCCCCCGGGGCGTCCTGGAGCCCCGCGAAAACGCCCTCCGGTTCCTGCGGAGCCTCCGCAGCCCCAAGATGATGCGCGACTCGGGCTGCTTCGGGCGGAGGCTGGACCGGATCGGCTCCCACAGCAGCCTGGGCTGCAATGGTGAGCCCCCGCCTGCTGCAGCCCCCACCCGCCGCCCCCGCGCTCCAGACCCCGTCCCAGGGGTGCCACCGTTAGAGTCAGCTCTGGGTTCGTTGTCTCTGGGGACCACACTCTGAGAAAAGGACACCTGGAACCACCCCTTCTAGCTGACAGTCTTCAGGGCCAAGCGTGTCTTTTTGGAAATATCAAATGCGGCCCATTCATGACCATGCCCAGGAGTCCCCACCCACGTGCCGCCGAGACCTGCCTCTCTGATCCAAGGGGCGACTCTCCTTTCGCGGACTCTGTCCATTGTCTGGCAGCCCCGCCCCGGAGCAAAAGGGTCCTAAACATTCTTCCTCCCAGTCTCCCCTGTGCTATCGCCTCGAAGAAGGAGAGCAGGGTCACGGGGCGATGAGAACCCCCAGTTTGCAGATGAGGAAACTGAGGCCCAGAGACATGGTTGATTCCAAAGCCTCAGCCATCAAGATCATTGATGACTAGCGGGTGGCAAGTGGTGCACGGTTTGCTCAGCTCCCGCCTCAGTCTCCCACCTAAACCCACTGTCACCCCTCCCTCCCCCCACAGTGCTGAGGAGATACTAAGAGGGAAGAGGAAATCCTGGCTGCAGACACCTGCTTCTGGTTCCGCAAGTGGCTCTTTCCCCAATCCCAGGACCCCCTTGGAAGTGACTCCTACTTATTTATTTTTATTTATGTATTTATTTGGTTGTTTTATACAAGACGGGTTCTTAACCTTGAGCACAAAATTTCCATGGTGAAATAAAGTCATTCTAAGCTTTATCTTTTGAATCTGATTTGTCTCTGCACATTGAAAATAATCCCTCATTTCAAAAAACCCAAACCAAACCAAAAAACACAAAGCGTTCTCTTTACTTGAAGGTCCCAACGGTATCCTGACGGTGGGGTAGGGACACGGCCTCACGGGCTGGTCGCGTGGGGTGGCGGGCTTTCTTTTCTTTCGGGTTTATGGTGCTCTGAAAGAGACACTTTGCAGAAGCCGCTTTTCAAAGCAGGTCGGTTTCTTCCTGGGTGTGGACTGGGCCCTGATGGATTTGTGCAACCTGAGGGCGTGTGTCCAGGCATTGCCCCACCAGTCTTCCTTCTGCCTGGAACTCTGCCAGTAAGTACTGTCCCTGGAGATTGTTGTTTCTAGAAGGTCTAAGCTGAAATGTCAGAGGCTGGGGTCAGTGTGTGTGAGTGACACGCTGGCTCAGCTGCATTCCTAGATAGGGATGAGCTCTCCATCCTGCCCCAAATCTCAGCTTCAAACCTCCAGTTCCTGAAAAGACCTTCAAAACCCTGGCCCGCAAGAGTAGAGGAGCTGACACGAGGCCCAGCTTTCCAGGGTGTCCCTCCCCTGGGGCTGCCCCGTCACTTCCTCCCCACCCTAGAGAGAGAAAAGGAGACAGCCGTCAGCGTCCTGCAGGTGCGCTAACCGGCAGGGAGGCCTCCCCTCTGTGGGTTCCCCTGCAGATATCTCTAGATCCAGGCCACCCAGGCCATGTGGCGAAGACTCTCCGGCCTCCAGGCTCCCAGGAAGGGCCTCGTGCCATTCCCCTTCCCGGAATGCCGTTCATGGCCCGAGCTGAGGGGTAAATCGCCATGAGGTCAGCACTGCTATTATCCCCATTTTCCGGATGAGAACAATGAGACCCAGGAAAACCAAGCATCCTACCAGAGACCTGGCAGCTGCTAGGTGCTAGCGCTGGGATTTGAGCAGAGGGCCGAGTGACCCTTGAGCCTCTGTTCTCCGACTCTTGAGCCCCACACTCCTGGCCTTGAACTCTGCTCTCACGGCCTTCCTGATTTTCCCATCTGATGTTTCTTTGAGTGGAAGGGAACCAGAGGGGCGGGTCTTTGTGTTATTTCCCATTTTAACCCAGTGCGCGTCAGAGACATCAGAGACGTCAGAGACGTCAGAGACGGGGCACCTAGTGAGATCAGTTAAGATTGTTTTAAAATGAGGTTTCAGGAGCAGCTTATTTTCCAGCTAACTGTCAGTCATCTTCGTCTGTTTCTGACCCAGGCTGGGCAGGGTTATTAGCATAGTTAACATTTATAAAGGCCTCATTCATGCACCAGGCACAGTTCCATTAACTCTCACAGCCCTTACAACAACTGAGAAGTTAAAACTTTTATTATCGACACTGGTGCAGTGGGCCGGGTGCAGAGACGTGGGGGCGGGCACACTGGTGCAGTGGGCCGGGTGCAGAGACGTGGGGGCGGGCACACAGGTATAGTGGGCCGGGTGCAGAGGTGTGGGGGCGGGCACGCAGGTCCAGTGGGCCGGGTGCAGAGGAGTGGGGGCGGGCACGCAGGTATAGTGGGCCGGGTGCA